AGAGGTTCAGAGAGCGTCTCCGCTGGCGTTCTTCTGGCGATAAATTTAGGCCGAGCCAGGCCTAGTTGCATTGGTTCCTGCGCATCTCCTGGAAGTGGGTTCTGGATCTTTGTTCTGGTTTGTTGGCTGGGGCCTGGAATTGGACCCCATGCATTTCCGTGACCCTGACCGGACCTCTCCAACCTGCGTTCCCGCAGTCTACGGTCTATTTGAATCGTCAGGGCTATTAGGTCTTCTAGTGACTCGGGAACCCCCACTCGGGCCAGCTCATCCTTCAAGGGCTCTGACAGACCATACGGAACTGGTGTCGCAACGCGAACTCGTTCCAGCGTGTGTCCCCCATCCAACACCTAAATTCAGAGGCGTATTCTTCTGCCGCCCGGCGGCCCTGTCGAAGCGTGGATAACGTTGCTTCAGCAGAGGCTGCCCGCTGTGGATCATCATAAAGGATGGCCATAGCTTCAAAAAAACCGCTGACCGTTCCCAGGTGAGGGTCATGGTTTGCCCTTAACCGATGGGCCCAATCTTGGGGTTCACCCTGCAATAGTGAAATTAAAAATCCCACTTTCACTGATTCCGTTAGGAAGGTGCGGGGTTGCAATTAAAAAAAACAGGAGGCAGGAATCCCGAAAAGACCTGAAGCGTGTTCGGTCCCCGTGAAAACGCTCAGGTAGTGGTACTCGGGGTTCAACCCTCGGTAGAGGAGCAGAGGCCCCTGAAGCTGGCCCCAGAGCTTCTTCTACCGGGGGAGCGGAAACAGGGGCCTGTGGAGCAGGGCCAGATGCAGAGCGGGTCTGGAAACGGTTTTCCAGGTGCGTGCATTTGTCCTGCAAGGTTGCCACAGCCTGTGTCAGGGCTGATAGGTGCCTGCAAATATCTCCCAGCGGGGCTGACCCTCCTCCAGGCTCAGTCATGGCCTTCTGGTACTGTAAGAGACCACCAGGCGGTACCACTAGCACTCCACTGGCCAGGCGTCTCCAGCGCACGGTATCTAAGCCCCAGGGTACGTGTTCACCAGAGCCCCTGATGGTGGGGATGGACTTGAAGTACCCCGAGACCAGGTCGTGGCTACTGAGCACGCCTGTCAGTGGTAGCGGTATTCGCCAGGGGCTCCCGCAGGGAAGAGCCTGATGTGAGGAGGTCGGGTGATCCCGTCGGGATGGATGGATGGCTGAGCAAGTGCGGGATCAAACGGGCCGGGTCGAAAACAGTGGGGACGGAGCAGTACAAGGCAGCGGGCAGAGAGTAGTCGGGTCACACGCCAGGTCAGCAACGGAAGGTCAGATCCAAACGGGGGCATTCAGGAGAGAGGTCAGGCAAAGCAAGGGTCTGGGCAGGAGAAGGCAACAAGGTCAGGTACAATCCGGGTCAATAACTTACTTAGAACAGGTTCGCAGATACAGGATACAAGGAAAGACCAGAAGGCACTGAATGACAGCTCAGGGCCGTTTAAATATCCCGCCCTGCGCTGCCATTGGTGCCACGCGCGCGCCCGCGGTCCCTACTGCGCATGCGCGAACTCCCTCGCCGCGGACGGCCAGGTCTCAGTGCCCGCATTCTGACACGGGGCAGTGCACTGCGCCTGCGTCGAGCCCGTCGCAGCGGGGATTCCTGACAGTTAGAAGCAAGAAAAAGCTCACAAGTGGGCTCGTAGAGCAAATTAACCGTAATGTAGCAGTAGAGAAAACAATAATAGGGAGGCTGATCAGTAGGCATGGCAACAAGCCAAGTAAACCATCATCCAGTGGATCAGGGACTGTTAAAAAGAGAATAGGGGGAGTAGTGCAATTTTTTCCGAACCCTCAACTTGACCTATATAGCATTGCATGAACTATGGCTCCAAGCAGTGTCAAATAGGGATACATAGGTTAACAACTGAGAGCTTAAGTAACAAACATAGGTAACAATACTTAAAAGATAGCAAGTTAAAGTCCCTAAGCATTCTATGGGAATCACTGTAGTGTAAGGAGCATACGTAGATTTTCAGTGCTGCCAAGGGGATCAGCACCAGAAGGAGTTGCGTACCTTGGCCGAGGGTGGAGGAACTTCGCCTGAATAGGGGCACATGGTATGGTAGAAGCTACTCTAGGCCAAGGGTTTAGTCTCCATCCACAGCCAGAAAAAAATGAAACTGCAGTCAGAGATCTACACCACCCTTAGACAGAGGCATCCTTGGACCCCGGAGGAACTCTAGGCCCAGGGTATTGTTAAGGAGGAAGATATATAATGGTCAGGTAGTAGATAGAGTGTGCCATCAGGGAGGGATCAGTAGGAAGGTGGGATGGGTAAGAAGGATGCAGGAGTATAAAAGTGTCACAAATGTAATTTAATACTTATCTGCTTCAGTAGGTAGCAAAAGTGCCAAAGACAGCATTTAATGGGCTTCAGCTAGATGGGGTGGAACATGGCACAGGAATTGCCTGTATGTTAGATGGGGAGCCCCGTACCTTTGGGGATTCCATGTCGCTGCTGTTCGCCCTTGATGATGATCTGGTAGGTGAATGTGACAGGCAGAGCTTATCCAGAGGTTGCTGGGCTCCCTAGAGAGTGGTGCCTTTGTAAGTGGGACCCTGGTAAGAGAAGATAAGCCGGAAGGGGAATCCCCATCTGTAGGTGAAGGGATGGCGCTGTAGGATTTGCAGAATGGGCTTCATCTCTTTTTGGCTATGGTTAATGGAGTCGGGTCCACAAAGAGTTGGTATTCGAAGCCTGCAGTAACCATAGATTAATGTTTGAATTGTAACCTTTTCTTGCAGGCATAACAGATATCTGCAGCAGCACAGCGAGTGGTCTTTAATATCTGGCTGCCACATATGTGTCCATGGGCTCTGCTGTTGTGTGCTTAGAGTGCGCTCACTGACTGAGCTATCACTGATCTCTTCCCATCACCGTTTACGGCTGGGAGCTAATCGGATAGGGTCCCAAACCAGGTCTCAAGATCAGGAACTCCACCTCCTGGCTATTAGACCCACTTAAAGGGCTGTCAGGGGGCATTAGCAAGGGGTTAATAGTGTTTATTTTTACTTTCATTTACAGTAGATATATAAAGTATTTTTATTTTATTGCAGCACTCAGTCTTTTTGGGTATGAGTCTATCAGCATGGCACATCTTGACTTGGCAATATTTGCCCACTCTTCCTTGCAAAAACACTCCAAATCTGTCAGATTGCGAGGGCATCTCCTGTACAGAACCCTTATCAGATCACCCTACATATTTTTGATCAGATTCAGGTCTGGGCTCTGGCTGGGCCATTGTAAAACTTTAATCTTCTGTTGAATCCATGCTTTTGTTGATTTGGATGTATGATTTAGGTTGTTGTCATGCTGAAAGATGAATTTCCTCTTCATGTTCCGCTCTCTAGCAGAAGCTTGAAGGTTTTGTGCCAATATTGACTGGTATTTGGAACTGTTCATAATTCCCTCTACCTTGACTAAGGCCCCAGTTCCAGCTGAAGAAAAACAGCCCCAAAGCATGATGCTGCCACCACCATACTTCACTGTGTGTATGGTGTTCTTTTGGTGATGTGCAGTGTTGTTTTTGCGCCAAACATATGTTTTGGAATTATGACCATAAAGTTCAACCTTGGTTTCATCAGACCCTAACACATTTTCCCACATGCTTTTGGGAGACTTCAGATGTGTTTTTGCAAAATTTAGCCGGGCTTGGATGTTTTTCTTAGTAAGAAAAGGCTTCCATCTTGCCACTCTACCCCATAGCCCAGACATATGAAGAATACGAGAGATTGTTGTTACATGTACCACACAGCCTGTACTTGCGAGATAGTCCTGCAGCTTCTTTAATTTTGCGGTAGGCCTCTTTGCAGCCTCCCAGACCAGCCTCCCAGTTGTCACTGATTGGTAGCACTGATAGGTGGCACTGATTGGCATTGATAAGTGGCACTGACTGGCACTGATGGGTGACACTGAAAGGCAGCTCAGATGGGCACTGATATGTGGCATTGATGTGCACTGGTAGGCACTGATATGTGGCACTGATGGGCACTGGCACGTGGCACTGATGAGCACTGACAGCTGGCACTGATGGGCACTGACAGGTGGCACTGCTGGGGCTACACTGATTATCAGGGCACACTGATCATCAGTGCTCTGATGATCAGTGTAGATGTCCCCTTTGCGGAATGCAGATTACCGGCTGTCCTCTCCTCTCGAGCTGTCAGCATGACAGCTCGAGAGGCGAGAAATGCCGATAACCGGCATTTCCCTGTTTACATGTGATCAGCTGTGATTGGACACAGCTGATCACATGACCGAGCTGACATCTTCGGGTCTTTCACGTGGATCGGTGATCCGCTGTGTCCGACGGACACAACGCACCACCGACCGCCGTGCTGCGTGCCCCCTGAGCCGCGCATGCGCGGTGAGAATGGGAGGACATCATTTGACGTCCTCGCAGAACGAGAGAACCAACTTGCGCCTGTCATTTTACTATATGGCAGGCGGGAGGTGGTTAAAAAATGTGATAATACAAAAATATATATTTTGGCTGTAGATGTGCTTTAATAGCCAAACCTGTATTTGTGTGTTTTTTGTTTTACTTTTAGTTTTCAAAAGAGTGGATAATGACTTGTTGCAGTGACTCCAAGACACACAATGAGAGAGTAAGGGGACAGGTAGACCAAGAGAGCAATACAAATCTGACAGAAGTTTTAATCCTACCCCACTCTACTGCCTTTATCCTCAGAGATACCTTACACATCCTGACTTTAGGTTAGGGTAAAAAGCAAGAAACAACTGACATGTAGGTTTAACCCTTTCTCTCCCTCTGCAAAAAAAAAAAAAGTTTTGCCTAAATTTGGGCTTTAAGGTAACTTTGTATTAGCTTTTCAGGTCTAGTTAGGCTTTTCTCATATGTGGCCATTTTGTCTTTTGTCTCTTGTCTCTCTAGCTGCATATTACTTTTTATAGTATCTGTGTCCACTTTTTGATGTGTATTTTACACTCCAGAACCTGCATTCATCACTAAAATTATTTGTTTCTAGGGTGGAGTTAATAAGATGTACCATGGGGTGCGTGATTTTGATCCCAAAGAGTCCCAGAGTTCATTTGGTCATGGAAAAAGGAGACACAGTTTTTTTCCATCCAGTGCTTATCCATGGATCTGGTATGAACAAAACTGCAGGCTTCAGAAAGGTAAATGGAAGCACCAAATTAACAAATCCTGGGGATTAGGGAAATGTAGTATATGCACCTCCTAAACTACTCACTCACTGTATGCAAAACAAAATATATAATGCACGTACACGATTAAAGAAAGAAGTTTGTCACTAAGGACTTTACTTAACAGCTTCCTGCCCGCCCGCCCGCAGTGTACTGCGGATGGGCAGCAGCTACAGGGAAAGTTACTGGCTGTACTAATGAGCGGGTGTACAGCACTCCCCTCCCGCGACTGTTGTGTCTGGTGGACACAGCGGAATGAAGATCCCGCTATACGCTATGTGATCACATGATCACAATGTTAGCAAAGCTGCTATGAATCAATCTGATTCATAACAGCTCTTCTCTTCCCAGTGAGCTGTGATTGGCCCACAGCTGTCACATGATACATGGGGCCAATCATAGCACCGTGTACCATGTGACCATCTCCAGCCAATCACAGATCACTGTTTTGAGCTGTCAAAAAAAAAAAAAAAAAAGTTCATGAATGAGTTAGGTTCATGACAGCAAGCTTTGCATTGCAGTAGAAATTATCTTTATTTCTCCTGCAAAGCAAAGTGTAAAAAAAAAAAATATTGTAACATTGTACTATTCTGATAAAAGTATTAAAAAATAAAATAAATGATACTGTATTAAGAATTTAAAAAAATATATATATTTTTAAAGGTTTTTTTTTTTAAACTATTTGCCGACCGCTTACCCACATTTTGCGGGCGAGCAGTGGCTCTGGGCAAAGCGACATAATCTTATGTCTTTCTATTTCGGGGTGTGAACGTGCCTTCGCCCTCCGCTGCTCCCCCGGTTGGTCCAGGGAGAGAAGAGAGAACATGGCACCGAGTAAAAGAACTACATTTTACTCACACACTTTAGATTAGCACATTTAACTCGTTGATCGCCCCTATTAACCCTTTTATCGCCCTGTCACGCAGCCAGTGCCATTAGTACAGTGTCATTATATAGATTTTTTTCACTGATTACTGAATTACTGCCACTAGCGACATCAGATAGCGTCAGTGTCAGTTAGCGCCCCTCCTAGCCAGGTCAGCTAGTGTTAGATTGCCTACACACTATCGGACTCACACTATAGGTCACTGATCACCACCATTACTAGTATAGTGTTTGTATGGATCAATATAATGATCCTGAACAGAACTATACTAGTGCCTGCTTTGTATAGTGTCCCCAGAAACGCAGTGTTAGCAGGATCAGCCCCGTTCGCTGCCAGCACTAGCTTTTAGCCCCTCCACTGTTTTTCACTGAAGATTTCTAAAACTGATTGTGGGCCAAAGCAATTTATACGCACAACAATACATCACCGCCCACCCAAATTTAGCTCTTGCCAAACCATTCACATGGAAACCTATCACAGTTTCGGAATTTTAAAACTTTTTTGGGCATAACCTTCAACATGAGCATTACAAAAAAAGAATGAATAGCAGTCATATTAGTCCACAGACTCAATTCATTATATGCCCATGTTCTCTGCTGTTACATATATGCCCAGCATGGACCAGCAATGTATTGATATGTCGCTGGACTTTAAGTGGTTATACCAGGATGATGCCTTCTGGTACAGGCATCATCCTGGTATTGTTTTTCTCAGCTGGTGGTCAGCTGTCATGTAAAAGCAATCCTGGTGGCCAATTAGCTGCTGAATTGTTTTTACAAGCAGCGGGAAGGGACATCCCCTCTCCCCCCCCCCCCCCCCCCTGCCACTTTCCAGTTTTCTTGGGCTCTCCTGTCCCACAGGGGAATCTGAGAATGTAGCCAGCAATTCCGCTGGCTGACCATAGAGCTGATCAGAGACTAAAATGGCTCCAATCATCTCTATGGTTTAAGAGACTGGAAGCTACGAGCATTTCATAATTTCCGTTTGCTGGACTTTAACAGCGCCACTTTTAAATTATTTACATTCCCTGTGATAATAAAAGTGATCAAAATAAAGAAAGGGACAGTGTAGAAAAAAAAAAAAAAAAAAAAGCAAAAGAAAAACCCCCCAAAAAAATCACCCCTTCCCCTCCTTGCTTCCCGTACTTGTGCGCAAAGTTGAACTCAAGCGTTGGTTCCGTGTCGGTATGTAAACTGAGATTTCAACATCCGTGTGAGGTATCACCGTGAATATCAGCTCGAGGGCAGTAACTATAGCACTAGACCTCCGGTGTAAATATAAATTGGTGACCTGTAAAGGCTTTTAAAGCGTCGCCTATCGATATTAAAAATGTATGTCCTTATTCACCATTGCACAGGCATGCGCAGTTTTTAAAACATGTCATGTTTGGTATCCATTAACCAGCGTAACATCATCTTTTATACTGTATCAAACAATTGGGCAATATATTGTGTTTCTGTGCATTAAAATTCTAAAATGTTTTTTTCCCAAAAAAGACTTGCGTTTGAAAAATTGCTGCGCAAATACTGTCTGACATAAAAAAGTTCAACACCCACCATTTTATTCTCTAGGGCCTCTGCTTTAAAAAAAATATATAATGTTTGGGGGTATATAGTAATTCATAGTAATTTTCTAGCAAAAAAAATTTTTTTCTTGTAGCATTATACTCAAAATGACTTGAGGCTGTAATTGGTACTAAAGGTGCTTCAACAAAGTATTGAGAAAAGGCTGTGAAAACTTATGTGCATGTGGTTTTTTTTTTGTTATTTTTAATACATTTTTAATAAATTGCAAACATGTCAAAACGAACTTCTTTCACATTGTCATTATGGAGTATTGTTTGTATAATGTTAAGGAAAAATATTAATTTAATCAATTTTGGAATAGGGCTGTAACATAACAAATAGTGGCAGAAGTTAAGCGCTATGAATACTTTCTGGATGCACTGTAAGTGACAACATAGAGTAAAAAAAAAATTGTCATTTTCAGAAAAATTGTGGCAAAAAATAAAATGTTCCATGGACTCAACATTATTATTATTATTATTATACAGGATTTTATATAGTACCAACAGTTTGCGCAGCGCTTTACAATATAAGGGAGACAGTACAATTACAATACATTTCAGTACAGAAGGAATAGGAGGGCCCTGCTCGTGGAGCTTACAATCTAAAGGAAGGGGGAGGTGATACAAAAGGTGATAGCTGCGGGGGATGATCTGGCGGAGGTGATTCAAGTACAGTTCTTAGGTGGAGGTGGGGTAGGCTTCCCTGAAGAAGTGAGTTTTCAAAGATCGCCTAAAGGCAGACAGGGTGGGGGCTGACCGGACATGCTGTGGTAGGACTTCTCCAGAGGGTGGGAGAGGCTCTGGAGAAGTCCTGGAGGCGAGCGTGGGAGGAGGTGATGAGGGAGCTAGAGAGGAGGATATCATGGGAGGAGCAGAGTGGGCGATTTGGGTGGTATCTGTGGATGAGGTTGGTGATGTAGCTTGGGGCAGTGTTGTGGATGGCTTTGTAAGCTGTGGTTAGTATTTTGAATTTTATACGTTGGGTTAGTGGAAGCCAGTGGAGGGATTGACAGAGAGGGGTAGCAGTCGCTGATCGGTTGGTAAGGTGTATGAGTCTAGCAGCAGCATTCATAATAGACTGAAGGGGGGATAGCCTGTGTAACGGTAGACCAGTGAGGAGGGAGTTGCAGTAGTCGAGGCGGGATATAACCAAGGCATGGATAAGTTGTTTTGTGGTGTCATTGGTCAGGAAGGGGTGGATTTTGGAAATGTTCCGGAGGTTGAGGGGGCAGGATTTAGCCAGTGAGTGGATGTGGGGCCCAAAGGAGAGGTCAGAGTCTAGGATTACGCCTAGCACCCTGGCAAAATCCTTGGGGTGTCTACTTTCCAAAAAGGGGTGATTTGGTGGGGGTTTGTATTGCCCTGGCATTTTAGCACCTCAAGAAATGTGATAGGCAGTCAGAAAGTAAAAGCTACGTAAATTCAAATATACAGTCAGGTCCATAAATATTGGGACATCGACACAATTCTAACATTTTTGGCTCTATACACCGCCACAATGGATTTGAAATGAAACGAACAAGATGTGCTTTAACTGCAGACTGTCAGCTTTAATTTGAGGGTATTTAAATCCAAATCAGGTGAACGGTGTAGGAATTACAACAGTTTGCATATGTGCCTCCCACTTGTTAAGGGACCAAAAGTAATGGGACAATTGGCTTCTCAGCTGTTCCATGGCCAGGTGTGTGTTATTCCCTCATTATCCCAATTACAATGAGCAGATAAAAGGTCCAGAGTTCATTTCAAGTGTGCTATTTGCATTTGGAATCTGTTGCTGTCAACTCTCAAGATGAGATCCAAAGAGCTGTCACTATCAGTGAAGCAAGCCATCATTAGGCTGAAAAAAAAAACAAAACAAACCCATCAGAGAGATAGCAAAAACATTAGGCGTGGCCAAAACAACTGTTTGGAACATTCTTAACCACTTGAGCCTCAGAGGATTTACCCCCCTTAATGACCAGGCCTTTTTTTGCTGTTTGGCGCTGCACTAATGCAAATGATAATTGCGCGATCATGCAATGCTGTACCCAAACGAAATTTACGTCCTTTTTTTCACACAAATAGAGCTTTCTGTTGGTGGTATTTTATCACCTGTGCGCTTTTTTTTTTGCGCTATAAACTAAAAAACCACGAAAATTTTGAAAAAAAACAATATTTTCTACTTTCAGCTATAAAAAATATATCGTAAACTCAAAGTTAGTCATAAATTTAAGTCAAAATGTATTCTGCTACATGTTTTTGGTAAAAAAAATCCCGTGCATTAGCGGGCAAACTGGCGCTATCTAGGAGGGGCGCTAACACTATCGGAAGTCACCAGTGACACTAATACAGTGATCAGTAAAAATCTGTTCACTGTAATCAATGACACTGGTGACAGGGCAGTGAAGGGGTTAACTGGGGGGGGGGGGGGGGCGATCAAGGGGTTAAATGGGATTTCTGGTGCACTAGCGGACAAACTGGCGCTATCTGGGAGGGGCGCTAACACTATCGGAAGTCGCCAGCGACACTGATACAGTGATCGGTAAAAATCAGTTCACTGATCAGTGACACTGGTGACAGGGCAGTGAAGGGGTTAACTGGTGGGGGGGGGGGGGGGCGATCAAGGGGTTAAACGGGATTACTGGTGTACTGGCGGGCAAACTGGCGCTATCTGGGAGGGGTGCTAACTCTATCGGAAGTCGCCAGCGACACTGATACAGTGATCAGTAAAAATTGGTTCACTGATCAGTGACACTGGTGATAGGGCAGTGAAGGGGTTAACTGGGGGGGGGCGATCAAGGGGTTAAACGGGATTACTGGTGTACTGGCGGGCAAACTGGCGCTATCTGGGAGGGGCGCTAACACTATCGGAAGTCGCCAGCGACACTGATACAGTGATCAGTAAAAATTGGTTCACTGATCAGTGACACTGGTGACAGGGCAGTGAAGGGGTTAACTGGGGGGGGCGATCAAGGGGTTAAACGGGATTACTGGTGTACTGGCGGGCAAACTGGCGCTATCTGGGAGGGGCGCTAACACTATCGGAAGTCGTCAGCGACACTGATACAGTGATCAGTAAAAATTGGTTCACTGATCAGTGACACTGGTGACAGGGCAGTGAAGGGATTAACTGGGGGGGGGGGGGCGATCAAGGGGTTAAACGGGATTACTGGTGTACTGGCGGGCAATCTGGCGCTATCTGGGAGGTGCGCTAACTCTATCGGAAGTCGCCAGCGACACTGATCAGTAAAAATCGCTTCACTGATCAGTGACACTGGTGACAGGGCAGTGAAGGGGTTAACTGGGGGGGGGGGGGGGGGGGCGGCGATCAGGGGGTAAATGTGTCCTAGAGTGTTCTAACTGTAGTGTAGTGCTTGTGTACTCACTTTTTGGATGTCTTCTTCTCTGTCTGGAACAGAATGTGTTCAGGCAGAGAAGAATGACATCATATCCTGCCCTGTGTATTTGTCAACACAGGCAGGATAGGACAGGGACCGATCATGTGATTTCAGCCAGAAATCACTGGCTGAAATCTAATGATTGATCCCTCCTGGATCAAATCATGTCACCCGCGGGTCGGCGGAGCGCGCGCGTGCGCCCCCTGCCGGCGAAAGTGTCGGGAGCGCGGAACCTGTTTTAAAACGTGGTTTTGCGCTCCACTGCCGCCCTGCACACGTATATACACAGTGGCAGGGCGGCAAGCGGTTAAAAAGAAGGAACGCATCGGTGAGCTCAGCAACACCAAAAGACCCGGAAGACCATGGAAAACAACTGTAGTGGATGACTGAAGAATTCTTTCCCTGCTGAAGAAAACACCCTTCACAACAGTTGGCCAGATCAAGAACACTCTCCAGGAGGTAGGTGTATGTGTGTCAAAATCAACAATCAAGAGAAAACTTCACCAGAGTGAATACAGAGGGTTCACCACAAGATATAAACCATTGGTGAGCCTCAAAAACAGGAAGGCAAGATTAGAGTTTGCCAAACGACATCTAAAAAAGCCTTCACAGTTCTGGAACAACATCCTATGGACTGATGAGACCAAGATCAACTTGTACCAGAGTGATGGGAAGAGAAGAGTATGGAGAAGGAAAGGAACTGCTCATGATCCTAAGCATACCACCTCATCAGTGAAGCATGGTGGTGGTAGTGTCATGGCATGGGCATGTATGGCTGCCAATGGAACTGCTTCTCTTGTATTTATTGATGATGTGACTGCTGACAAAAGCAGCAGGATGAATTCTGAAGTGTTTCGGGCAATATTATCTGCTCATATTCAGCCAAATGCTTCAGAACTCATTGGACACCGCTTCACAGTGCAGATGGACAATGACCCGAAGCATACTGCAAAAGCAACCAAAGAGTTTAAGGGAAAGAAGTGGAATGTTATGCAATGGCCAAGTCAATCACCTGACCTGAATCCGATTGAGCATGCATTTCACTTGCTGAAGACAAAACTGAAGGGAAAAGAAATGCCCCAAGAACAAGCAGGAACTGAAGAGAGTTGCAGTAGAGGCCTGGCAGAGCATCACCGGGGATGAAACCCAGCGTCTGGTGATGTCTATGCATTCCAGACTTCAGGCTGTAATTGACTGCAAAGGATTTGCAACCAAGTATTAAAAAGTGAAAGTTTGATTTATGATTATTATTCTGTCCCATTACTTTTGGTCCCTTAACAAGTAGGAGACACATATGCAAACTGTTGTAATTCCTACACCGTTCACCTTATTTGGATGTAAATACCCTCAAATTAAATCTGACAGTCTGCAGTTAAAGCACATCTTGTTCATTTCAAATCCATTGTGGTGGTGTATAGAGCCAAAAATGTTAGAATTGTGTCGATGTCCCAATATTTATGGACCTGACTGTATATACCATAGTTTGTAGACGCTATAACTTTCACACAAACCAATTAATTTACATGTATTTGGGATCTCTTTTACAATGGATATGTAGCAGAATACATTTTGGCATACATTTTTGACTACATTTGAGTTTATTGGATATTTTTTATAACCAAAAGTGAAAAATATTGGGTTTTTTTCATAATTTTCAGTCTTTTTTTTTTGTTTATAGCGCAAAAAGTAAAAACTGCAGAGGTGATCAAACGCCACTAAAAGAAAGCTCTGTTTGTGTTAAAAAAAGTACTTAAATTTTGTTTGGGTACAGCATTGCACAACCATACAATTACCAGTTGAAATAGCGCAGTGCCGAACAGCAAACAATAAATCTTCCAGAGGGCAAGTGGTTAATATAATCAAATGCATGATATGTGTTTTTGTTTTTGTTTTGAATGTCACATTGGGCAGCTCTCTTAAATGTGTGATGGAAAAAATATATAATGTTTCTGCTTATTTGGGTATCCCTACCTCACCCAAACAGCCAAACAGCATGTTCAGGAAGAGGAGGGTAGGTGCTTAGGAATGTTTAGTAAAGCAAAACAGTTTATATTGCTGTTTTATGCTGCAATGAGATTTTATTTAAGTCTAATGCAGCCAAAATGAAAACCAGAAAAATAAGCACAAGGGGCATAACTTACAATCAGTAGGATGTGTCCCTTGTGCTGATGCCTCTTCTTTTAGGTGAAATCGTCCTCCACCCATTGCCCTCCCCACCCCTGCCAACATAATGTTCTGATGTGGTGGGGGTTATGAGAACTAAGGGGCTGTCACAGGCTCTCATCAAGAGAGCCTAACTATGCTCACTCTCTCTGCCCACCTGCTCCATTCATAAAAGCTGTACTAGTTTTTATAAATGAAACCGCATCAGTGAAAGGAGGTAGATGATTGAAAAGTCCACCCCCCTTCATTCGTAAGTCATATTTCATTCATTGCAAAGCACAGCAAACTCCTGCGCTGGGGATGGACTCAGCAGAGACTATGTTAACAGTTCAGATATCCTGGAATGTGCACTCCTTGCTGCCCTCAATGGATCGGGGTAGTCCAAAGTCACTGGATACAAAAGAAAGCAAAAAGAGGGCGCACCAGCCTAGTGCATTATCATAAAGAATATTTATTTAAAAGGATAAAAAGTAGGTATCATACTCACAATGGACATATAGAACAAAGCCACTTCACAATAAACAGTGGTTGCCAATCCTTATAGCATATAAATCCAAAACAATGGAACCCTGGACTTCCAACTGGCTAACGTGTTTTGAGGACTTAGCCTCTTCCTCGGAGCCCTGAGGAAATATTCTTTACAATAATGCACAAGGCCGGTACACCCTCTTTTTGCTTTCTTTTACATTTCATTAATTGAAGTTGTAGTAAGGCTTCTATAAATTAAGCAGCTGGGTGGAAAGGGCATGCATAGTCAGGCTCATTTGATGTGAGCCTGTGACAGCCTCTTAGTTCTATTAACCCACACATCCTATTGCCTTTAAGTTATGTCCCTTGTGCTAATTTTTCCTATTTTTTATTTTATCTGTACTTTTATGTAAAGAGATTTTGTCTAGTGAGACTAACTTTGTTTGATTCGAAATTGTAGGCAATTTCCTGCCATTATGCCAGCGCTGATTGTGACTATATAGATGTGAAGGGTACGACACAGGAGAAGGTTGAGAAGGAAATTTCTGAATTGGCTATAAAGCGCTATGGACTGGACAGTGGGATCCCTCTTCAAGTAATGAATTTGACAGTTTTTTACTGCTTCCTTTACTAAAACGTGCCTACTAGCTTAACATATACTACTTGTCGTTAATCACTCTTCATAGTTATTTTTTATTATTATTATTATTATACAGTATTTATAAAGCGCCAATAGTTCGCTCAGCGCTGTACATTACAAAGGGGGACAGAACATGTGACAAAACAATACCAATACAATGCAAAACATGAGGGGATCGAGGGCCCTGCTCTTTCGAGCTTACAATCTAGGAGGGAATAGTTTTTTCTCTTCATCCATTGAGAGACACAGGAGTTCAGGAATTCTTAAACAATTGAATTAAACTGCTGCTTACAGGAAAAATGAATATAATATAAGGTACCACGCTCAATTTAGGACTAATGATTGCTTACTCATTTATGGTGGTGACTATGTACTCTCTACAGTATAGTCATAAACAGTTTATAATATAATGAATGAGATAGCATACCTCTGAAGTTAATAAGAAACTAATATATTAATTATTGTGATATTATCCGTGAAAAACAGAAGAAATAAATATATACACCTAATTGTGAAAAAATTCAAATCATGTGTACTACTTAAAATATATACTCACTAATTATAAAAAACTAATAAAAAATGAGACAAAAATAAAAAATGTATATAGAAAATTGAAAATAATAAAAAATAAATATCTATAGGTATAATAAATAATGTATATTATAGTGATGCTAAAAATATGATGTGAATAAAAATTCCAATGAAAAGAACAATTTTTTTCCAAGGAAAAAAAGTCTTAACCAACTTTGTGCAGAGTTCAACGAAGTAGTTAATGCGATGTGCTCTCTTCCCAAACAGCCTGCTGATTTATGGGTGTAGTCTGTGTAGAGAAGATACTTCAGTGTTAGCCTAATGACAGGTAGACCTCTCCTTCCTTAGAGCGCTCCTTATTCCTGCTCTCCGTTATTCCTCATTTTAGCCATGTAAAAAGAAAAATGACATAGTGTCTTATCATAGATAAACAGTGGATTTTATTAAGTGCCCAATATGCACTCACATTTAAAAGGATTAATCACGCTTTGTATAAAAGGCCGCTGGAAGCGGTGATGACCAGCCTCATTAGTGTGTCAGCACACACTGACAATACTCGCCGTGTCGGTAGTCAGATAACTGGTGACGTCTCTGCCCCTCCCCTACGCGTTACGCTACAGGGACTCGTAGCTTCATCTGGGGGATGTAATGACTAAATCTCCCTAAATTACTAAATGACTAAAATGACTAAAAAACAGCTAAATGAAAAACAAAATCTTCCCATCTCACTTTTCATTTGTTAATGTGAGAATATAAAACTCAAAATTTACAATTAAACATTTTCTGACATTTAAAAAAGAAAGCCGTGACCAATATAGCCACCCTTTTCAATAACAGTCATAAGCCGCCATAAGCCTTCCATTCATGGAGTCTGTCAGTTTCTTGATCTGTTGAGGAACAACTTTTTGCGCAGCAGCAACCACAGCCCCTGGGACACTGTTCAAAGAGGTGTACTGTTTCCCTTCACTGTAAATCTCCCATTTAGGAAGGGCCCACAAGTTTTCAATAGGGTTTAAGTCAGGTGAGGAAGGGGGCATGTCATTATTCTTTCATCTTTAAAGCCTTTATTGGCTAGTCATGCAGTGGAGTACTTCAATACATTCGATTGTGTATTGTCCTGCATAAAAGATGCAGACTTTTTCCTGTACCACTGCTGGAAGAAAGTGTCTTAAAAACTGGTAGTAGGTTTGTGAGTTGATTTTGAGTCCATCTTCAACCTGAAAAGGTCCAACTAGCTCATCTTTAATACAAGCCCATACCTGTTCCCCACCTCCATTTTGCTGGTATCTGAGTTGAAGTGGAGCTATGTGCCCTTTACTGATCCAACCACGGGCCCATCCATCTGGTCCATCAAAAGTTAGTCTAGTCTCATTCATAAAACCTTTGAAAAATCTGTCTTCAGATATTTCTTGGCCCAGTTTTGATGTTTCAACTTATGTGTCTTGTTCAGTGGTGGTCGGGTTTCAGCCTTCTTTACCTTGGCCATGTCTCTGAGCACTGAACAGTTTGTACTTCTGAGCACTCCAGGTAGGTTGCAGTTCTGGAATATGACAGCACTGGTGGATAATGGATTCCTGGTAGCTTTTGATTCTTCTAAAATCTTTGGCAGTTAATTTGCGTCTTTTTTTTTCTCAACATGTTTCGGGCAACAATGTTGACTATTTCTAACAAAACATTTGATGGTTTTGTGATCACACCCCAATATCTTAGCAATTTCTAGAGCGTTGCATCTCTCTGAAATACTTTTTTTTACAGTTTTTGACTTTTCAGAGTCAGTTAAATCTTTTTTTTGGCCCATTTTGCCTGAGGAAAAAAAGCTGCCTAATAATGATGCACACCTTGATTTAGAGTGTTGATCTCCTTAGGCCATACCCTCCCTCATTACACAAATAAAGATCACCTGATATGCTTAAATCTAATAAGCATTCAAGTTTATACAGCTTGGAGTTTGGACATTATTCATAAAAAAGATGATTTGGTCACTTGCTTTATAATACTCACTTGCTTAATAATTGTGCACAGTGTAGTATGGTCTCCCTTTCTTATATGATTTGTTTTCAGTCTTTTTCACCTGTGTGAGGGGGACTAAAACCTTGTCAAGATTCCAAGATTGTCTCTTTGAATGAAGATGCCGAGAGGCTTTTTAGTGGGGGATGAGATTTTTCCTACACACATACACACCCTGGAAGGAACCCTTCAATGGGTGTATCCTCTTGCCTGGCTATTGAACCTTGATCTCTCAAGAATAGACTGTTTTAAGTAATCAGGGGATCCTTTTGTAGGTTAGTCTTCTGAATTGAGCTCCACTGGATATCACATGAATGATGCAGTGCTTTTACCTTTAGAAAGCTTAGAGAACTCTCCCAATCACAAGGCAGCTTCCCTACTTTGTACCCTATAGTGCTGAGTGCATGAACAATTCTTCTGATCCCCTCAACTGATGGTCCCTTAAGATGGGTATTGTAAGTCTGGACACCTTTGTGGAATCTAATCACTTGGAGATATGTCCTTCTGTGGCTGAATTGCTGACATTTGGGGAAGTCTTCTTAGATTCATCTATCATGGAATGTTCCTGGTAATAGTTTTAGGATTCCCTTCTTGGTAGAGGATGCTGCTTGTTTCAGGGGTAGGTAAAAAATCATATAGCTTTGGTTAGGCAGGTTGCAGTGTGGCTTTCACACTCCAGAGAAACACCTCTTGGTGTTGGTTAGAAGGAGCCCTTCTCTTTATAGTCATGGGGATCTTATAAACCATTCAGGGTTATAATATACCTTTGTCCCTGCCTATCCCTTTTTATGCAGGTGTTTTTAATTATTATTATACTGGATTTATATAGCGCCAACAGTTTGCGCAGTGCTTTACAATATAAGGGAGACAGTACAATTACAATACATTTCAGTGCAGAAGGAATGTGAGGGCCCTGCTCTCGTGGAACTTACAATCTAAAGGAAGGGGGAGGTGATACAAAAGGTGATAGTTGTGGTTCCAGTAGGATTCAGGGTTAGTACATTTGAATATTTTCCACTTTAAAAGCATTTTCCCTCTATCCATGTGTATTTTATGCCATGAGGCTCTCACCCCCATGGCTTTATATAATTACAAGTTTGGTTGTCTCATCTTATAACTTTCTTCTTTATCATGATCCTCCCTTTTCTTTTAGGTTAGGATTGTTGAACTTAAGACCTTTGCTGTTGACTGTCTAGGCTTTTGCTTTTGGACAGGCCCCTCTACGTTGGTCGATCTGCAGATTAGTGATAGGGTCCTTCGTAGCGCCTTGTTCTAGATTCACTCTCTGAAAGAAATACAAACATTTCTGCCTTTACCCTAAACCCTCTCAACCCAAGCTGCTGTATAAATATCTGAATGATATTAAGAAAAAACTTTATATGCAAAATACAGCTCTACCCAAAAAGTAATCTAGTAATCATATCATAGTAAATAATCTCCACAAATAAAAAGTAATAAATCAGTGCATAAATACATTAATACATTAATAGTCCAGTCCCAACAAGCAATGCAGTGAAAAAATAAATAGTGCAGAATCAATCCAACTAAATATAATGAATCACTTATAGGTCCATAAACCATGCAGTGTTTATACAAACATTTTTCACAAGGTGGAAGTGTCAGAGCAAATGTTCAATGTGGTAAAGTGCCTGTGCTTCACAACCTTCGCGATACACACCAGTGGTGCAGCTCACTCATCAGACCACTTGTTACAAAATGGTCAAACAGCTCAGAGGAACATTGCTTGCTCAAAGGCACAGGAATCACCTTGGTTTCTACGATCTTCATAACACTCCTGAAACCGCAAAACACCACACCAGTGCCCTTCCTGTTCTGCCTCCTCTTACTGTTTTGACATCATGGTACTCAGTCCCTTCCCGATGTGTTTTCATCTATACGGATGTTATCAAGAGCGGTTCTGATGGTTCAAGTCTTCCAGCTTCTCACTTACTCTATAGTTCAGTGCTCATTTCCTCGTTGGTCTTGGGGATCAGGTTGATTCTCTGTGTTCTCCCTCTGGTTATGTTGGCATGTTCCCCTCTCAGATAGAGGTTCAGATTCAGGCATTGGTTTTTTAGGCAACTCTTATTGTTACAAACATGGTACAAAGCCAGGGATCCAGAAAGCATAGAAAATAATTTTAATTCCAGGTTATAATGCAACTAAAGTCCTGTCTTTCTTTTAGGATTGCACTCCTTCATTGGGACTTTTAGCACCCTGCATTGTGCTCTTCTGCTCATTTTCAGCTACAGAAATAGGTGTGCTAGGGACTGATAAGCTGCACTGATGAAGCGGCACTGGTGGGCATTGATCAGGAGGCACTGATGATACGGCACTGATAGGTGGCAATGATGGGCACTGATATTTGGCACTGATGGACACAAAAAGGTAGCACTGAAGGGCACTGAGTGGTGGCA